CGGGCGGGCAGCTGGGGCGCAGAGGACCGGGAGAAAGTGTCCCAGACCGAGACCGTCCCTCCCCGCCCTTGTCCGGGCTGTCGCTTTCCTGACCGAGAGCGGAGGACAGGAGGCTAAGAAGTGCGGTCAGTGATTTTGTCCTTCCCGCCACCTACCGGCCGCCGGCACCACTTTTCCTCCCCCGCCAATCAGAGCTGCGCAGCCCGGTTACAGCCACTCCCCTCACTCCTCCCTATCCCCCTCCCTCTGCCTCCCAGCCTTAGGGAACGCAGCAGCTGCTTTGGCAACTCCTCAGCACAGAGCCTCTCTGGGCAACAGCCCAGGAGAGGGCAAGAGAGATGCCTCCTGAATACCGAGCCTGCCCTGATGACACCCACAAAACCACCCACACCCCACAGGCTCCCAACACACTTTTCCACCCAGGACCCCTCCTTTCCTCCAGCAGCGCACATGTGGGGAAGCAGGAACAAGAGGTGTTATCAGGACAGGGGTGTTCGGCAGGGTCTCCACCCACAGGCACCCACACAACCCTTGCCCCTTCCCTGCTCCCACACTTGGCCACACACAGCAAACCCTCCATCAGAACCATTTCTCTTCACCCAGAACTTCAAAGCGAACTCTTCCAGGGATCACAGAACCTGCAACCCCAGGCACTCATTTCAGACACCAGCCCTCACTGGTTACTGCTCTTCTCCCCAGCTCAACGCGTTTTATTGCCCAGTTCTTTGGGGTTCCAAACCCATATTTTCCAACTACTGAGGATCAACAGCATATGATGGTCATGGATTAGGGCTCACGTCTGCTGGTGGTCTCTATAAACTGACAGATGGTGAATGTTATCATCTTCGCAGGCCACTTAGGGCCTGTCTCTGTATATACCACACACCTCCACCTTCATGGTGCCATAGCAGCCAGAGACCACATGCAAAGGAATGGGGGACCAGATATGGCCACTGTACTTCTTTGTGGCCCCAACATTTAGAGTATGTAGTGTGTCACAGATATGGGTGTCCCGTCCAATTTGTCCTCAGTGTTGAAGAGCCAGAACTGATCACTGTCCAGCCTGTAGCTTCTGGGTAGAGTCAGAGCAAGAGAATGTGGATCGTGCAGCAATAGGCAACTGCTCCACTTTGTCCTGTGAGACCCTGCAGGAAGTAATCGGTGCAACCTGAGGGTAGTGCTGGTGCAACATTTCTGGTGTGGGGATCAGGGACATCTCTCTTTATATCTGACATGTTCCCTGTGACCCTGCTCACTTCTATTCTATGACCAGTGGGCCTGCTGACCTAATGACACCCACAATGGACAACTCTAATGCCCATAGCCAGAGGCCTCATCTCTCCCAGGTCCCAGTACTTTACCAGGAGCCTCTTTAAATGGTGTGGGTCTCCTTGTGGCAAGAGACATAGCCTTGCTTCAGAACATTAGGGATCTGTGCTGTGATCCTCGAATCAGAAGGCCATGAACTCCCCTTAGCACCTTGTCCTACAAATACCTCTCAGATGATAGGCTTGCTTGGTTTTTATGAACCAAAAATGAGATCCAGCCACATTCACCCAATCAAGTACTGTCTATCACTGCTTTCATGCTACAACAGCAGAGCTGAGTAGTTGCAACAGACTTCTGATCTGCAAAGCCTGACATATGTGATATATACCATCTATAGAACGTCTTCTGACCAGGCTGGAAACATAATCGAGCTAGGAAAGGGATCACACCACCGCATCCTTACAGAGGGTTTAAGGTTAGTACTCTTCTCTGTTATTTCATTGAGGAAAAGACACTGTTTGAACAATCTGTTTGGAGGAAAGAGAAGACACCACTGTGAACAGGGCCTGGGACAGGTGTCTATTCATTACCTGGGCCCCAACCCCATGCACCACTTTCATAACAGGACCAATGGTGATGCTTCTGGTGTCTGGAAATGCTGTCAACTGACACACTGGATCCAATGTGAATGTCTGGGTGGTTTCTGTTTCCCGGTGTACATTTAGCCAAGTCAATGGCCATTTGGCACTTGCTGTCAGCTTGAAGGGTCCCTCCTCATGGGAACCGGGCCTCTCCTTCTAGTAATGGGTTATGGATCTCAGAAGTGGCTCAGTTCTCAAAACTGGCAAAAGAGCCAGCCTCTTTCTAGGGAGGCTGCTTTTAGCTTCCCAAGTATTTATCCTTGTTTTGTCTTTGATTTTATTACTTACATCCAGCACTCTCTGGGCACAGTGTGCTGGGGCCACAGCTTCCCATGGGCATGGCGGGACTAGCCAACCAGCCAGGGTAGGTGCTTGGCCAGCCTGGGTTCCACAGCAACAGGGCCCCCACCTTTCTGTAGATGGGATTTCTTGGTGAAACCATAGGTGTGAGCTTAGGTCCCGCTGTTGCAACATTTCTGGTGCCTGAGTCAGGCTCCCAGAATCAAGGTACCTAGGCAACCCATATCCTGAAGGTTGTGATGAGCCCTACTACTCCAGGTCAAGAGCTCTGCCAGCCAGGCGCCCTTCACCCCCCTCCTCCCTCCCTGCCCTCTGCTGTGCTGAAAACCCACAAACCAGTCCCTCACCTCCACCAACTCCCTATCCACCTTCTCTCCATCCAGTCTAGAAGACTGGGTTAGAAATGAACCCCTGACACCGGACCACACCCACTCTGTTGCTGTGGAAAACAGGCCAGCCAGGCACCTTCCCTTGCTGGAGGGCTGGCCCCTCCCCGCCTCAGGGCCTTCCTCACTCCAACCCCTGCGTTGAAAACTCACAACACCAGCCTGTCACCCCCACCAACTCCCAACCCACCTTCTTGCCACTGAGCCTAGAAGACAGGGAAGAGAAATGACCCCTTCATACCCGACCACTCCCTCCCTGCTGCTGTGGAACCCAGGCCGGCCAGGCACCTTCCCTGGCTTGTGGACTCTCCCTTCCCATCCTGCCCATTGCACAGCACCTTCCAGGTTGGTCCAGGGTCTGTGGTGGCCAAAGCATTAGCAGCTGAGCTGGTGGCCCCAGTAGTCTGCTGTAGAGAGCGCCTGGGAAGGCACATGAGCATTTCTTACATTATTGTCAGCTGAATCCAGTGGCGTTGGCAGAGCCACGTCCTGGAAACGCACTGTGCCAGATGCAGGTACGTTATCAGCCTGACCCTTAGCTCAGGTGGGTTTCATTATCTAAGTTCAGCCAGACTCAAGGAACGGACGCAATTATCCGGACTCAGCCAGGAGTGACGATTACAAAGAAGCCACAAGAATGAAAAATTAATGCTTGATCTTTAACCAGGATTTCTCATAATTTCCTTTGTTTTAAACTCTAGTAGCACTTCCTGGAATCACACTGTATAAATAAACATGCTGCACCGGCTCTGGGTCACTGTCTCTCCATCAGAAGACAGCCCTCCCACCCAGTCCCAGATTTCCCTACTGTTTCTGCATCTGTGTCTTTCATTTTCTCAACCCCCATCGCCCCTACACAGGACTCCCCGTCCACTCTCAAGCAGCGCTGGTTGAGGTCCAGAGAGAAATACATAATACTGTGCCCCTTAATGTGGCGGGGTGAACCATGGTACCGCCTCTGCAGTCTGCTCTCCATAGTCAGAATATCACACGTGCAGGTGGACCCTTTATATTTTGTGCTCCATACTTCATGTGGTCACTGGAAAAGCAATGCATCCCTTTATGAAACAGAGTGCAATACATGCTGATGCTCAGTCATTCTCTGAATAATTGAATTACCTTGAAGAACAGGAGCTGAGGGAGGGTCTCCTCATGTGTGGGTCTCACCATAAACATAACCACCCCTGGCAAACCACCCTCAAACTTCAGAAGAACAGCCCCTAATCTCCTGCTCCCGGAGTAATTCAATTTAGCACATTTGATTGAGCAACAGAATGTATTACACCTTGTAGGATCAAAGTGATAAAAGGACACAATCTACTCCAGTGACCACGTGAGGTGTGGAGCACACAGTATAAAAACATCCCTCACCAAGTGCAGTAGTCTTACTGTGGACTTGGGTGTCAATACTCACACGATGAGACAATTTAGCCTGAGGAGGGTCAGGAAGACTAAAAGGCAGGAGATATTTATGTTCAGCTTTGAAGCAGAACCAGCTCTTGGTGATGGGACAGGGGATACCGCCAGAAGGAGCCAGAACAGAAGCTTGGAGGCAAGATGGTGAGGACCAGTGGGTAGGCCAAGGTGGCTCTACCACAAGAAGTTGGAGAACAGAAGATGACAAGCAGAGCCATGGGATAGGGTGGGCATGTGGGAAATACCAATGGCAACCATGAGTTCCAAAACAAAATGTATCAGGAGCACGTGCACACACACACACACACACACACACACACACACACACACACACTGCTTACAGGGTTGATCTATCTCAGAAGAGCTGCAAGCCCTTCTCTCTGATTTGGCTACTTGGGAGCTCCTGGCTCACAGGGAGGGTCAGGGCCATACAGTGAGTGTGAGCACCTCCCACTCCAGGCCTGGGCTGACCATGCTGTGGAGGTGGAGGAGGGAGAAGCTGAGGAAGGTTGGAGCACAGAAGGGTCAGTAGAAAATAAAGGAGGAGGACCTGGCTTTATACAAAGAGAAGCATCTGAGGCACAGGCAGTGAGACAATTTTCCCCATCGCTATTGCATTTACTGAGGTACCTCCCTTCATAGATTATATTCTGAAAATTAAGTTTTTCCTAAAGTCTCACTTTTAAAACCTGTTCCAAAAATTTTGAGACAAGAAAAATTTTACAAAAACATTGCAGATGCAGTAACAGAAAGTCTATTCCTGAGCTACTGGGCAGTAAGCAGCAAATATCCCATCACTGCCACATTCTCTAGAGTGCATTTCCTAAAAATCAGGCCTCTTATCAATCCATCATAACCATCAATGTAGATTTCACA